GAGGCAACAGCTCCTTGAAGGCCAACACTGGCTTCTCCATTGGCAGTATTCTACTAAGAGAATACTGCCAAGTAGACCAACGAATCTTATAGTGTAAGGAAGTGTTCGAGAAGTTCCTTCCATAATGTGAGAATGTGAGATACTTTTTCCATAATCGTGATATATATAGTCTCTGAAACCTGACCATTGATGGAAGGGTAATTATCACCAACCAAAATACGTACAGTAAAACGGACTCAAATTACCTGCAGACAAGAACGTATTCGCTAATACTGTAGTCTGCTAATGATATGACGTATTAAGACTCTTGAACAGCTAGATTCGCTGTCTTGAAACACATTCAAATCCAAGACGAAAAGTAAAAACGGTTATTTCCTAAGACAACAACCTCTTGAGTAACTTCCACAGAGTGAAACATTGAAGGATAAAAATCTACGATTAGTAACGATAATTCGCAAGCGTTATCTTTGTAGCTTGTGACTCGTATCCTTGAATTACTCAAACTTGTTGTGTTAACTACACCCTTGAAACATCTCACTTGATCAATATTGAAAAGATTGAATTCCATTCTTTGTATCAAAATAATAAAACCATGATTCTTCATTAAACGAAAAGATTCTTTATGATACCGATCTTTGAAAACTATACCCTATGGAATACCTGACTCGATCACAATAGTAAAACTACCCTGACTTGAACATTATGTTGAACCTCTCTTTGTGAATAACAAAACAATTGATGTGATTAAGTTAACTTTGAAGATTGTTAACGATGATCTCATTGACCAAACAAACTCCATTATGACCCTAACAAGAAACGTACGTGCAACAACTTGAGAAGAAATGACGTCACAAAGATCAAGCTGAATCATTCAACCAAAAATCCCGAACCTATATACGATGTTGGTATAAGAACTCGTAAGATTCCTTACTCTAGGAATTTGTGAATTGAATCAAGACTGAAGATATTCTCTTCTTCCCTCGAAATGAGATCAACCATAGTATTACAATTGAACTTGTCGCCATCATGAACATATCTTGATATGTTTCCGAATTAAAGAAATTTGAGGACAACAATGCATACGTGAGACGCTACTCGAATGTCATCATTTACAAATACGATGGCTCATTAAGGATAATGAGAGCTACTAGGAAGTGAATGAAGAAATGTTACCAAATCTTTGGAAATGTCACCACCTGGGAAGAAGCAAAAACTTTGGAAATAATACAAAATCCCCCATATCTTCTCGTCAGGCCCCGTATTGAACTCGACGGTAATATCACAATCAAGTGTCATTGTGAAATCTTTGACTAGGAGTTCGCGGATACCACTAATATGGTGGGTCTCGAAATTGTGGTGTTGCGATCAAAAGCATCTAAAAAGGCCTTTAACGCCCATGTCGGTTACTTCACCGTTCACCTCTAGTCACTCAAACTAGGTCTTTGATTTCCCCTAAAGGGTCTAGTGATAGAGTACATGAACCATCAGGTCCTCTCCCTTGTTAACTAGTCCCAAATCTAATAGATACCTTTCCAAATACCTCATCCAGTGTGACAAAGCCAAGATTGAGTCTTCACTTGAACATTTCATGCTCATGCTCAAATTGAGAAAGGGAGTAGGCGATTGGGCTTCATATGTTTGCTTTTCCAAGGGTCGAGAAGTTGTTCCAAATAAAGCACAAGTCAAACCACTAGTGGAAAACCTTTCTTGTATATTTTTCCATTGGTCTTGTGTCTCCTTTCACCACGATGAACCATTTATCCTTCCATCGGCGTCCCAACCTCATCCAAGCACCAAACTGGTGAAGACGATGAGATAAGTGCACCAATTTGATGGAAATGGACTTAATCAAAAAATCTGACCACGAAGGCCAAACCAGATTGTTGAGCCTCCCATTTACAATGGCTTTCGCCTCTATTTATAGATATAACATCAAGGGAGTACAAGGAAGATGATAGACATTGAAGGTTCAATCACCCATGATCTTTATCCTCCATTGACTCTCATCCTAGCAATTTTGTCCAATCAGTGATCTGGCGTAGTTAAATCCTAAAAAAAGGGCCTGATTCCTTCATGCGTGAGTGGGCTGACGAACCATTCTTCGCCCTTACAAGTTTAGCCTGCGCGACGGCCTACTCCATTCTTGACCATGTTGTTATCGTGGATACTTATGGGGATTGGGCTTGGCCTAGACCCCTGGGGCCCAATATCCCATCATATATCTATTTATCTTGATCTGTACCAAAACCAATACCAAAGTATACCAAACTGATACTTCGGGATCGAGATCAGTACAACGTAAAATTACATACCAAACCAAAATATTTGGTACGACATCAGTACCAGCTACATACCGTACCAGATTGCACCACACTAATCTCTAGGGGGTGACAATGTTATGTCGCATTGCCATGTGGAAAGTGTTCCCATCACCCTATGCATGTTTAGGTGTGGTATGATGTGGGAGTGATTGTGGGTGAACATACTATCGTATAATGATAATTTCTTTTTTTCATAATATTCAATTTTAATATAAAGAATGATAAATTAAATAACAAAATGAGAATTTAAATTTTTTTTAAGCACTAAAATTTAATCACAATATTCAAATGGAAATATATTCTACATGAAAAAAGTATTTAACCGAAAAAGGTGTTTAAAAAACATTAGATTAAAAAAACTACTACAATCTCTCTCTTTTCATAATTTCTTCCTTTGTTTTTTGAAAATATTCCTTGTACGCCCTATTAAGTGCTCCGTCGGCATCCACGGAACATTGGACGAGGATGTTTCATGTGGAGGTTCAAAATTGTCTGTATGTCATTTTACTTCCCTCTCATTTGCATCACTTCAATTACTAAAAATCACTAAAAACAATAATATAAAAAAATATAAAAATACTTCATCCGTCTAATATTTATCTTCTTGTTTTCTCTTTAGATTGTCCCAAATTGTCAACCACCTTCATTTTAAGAAAAAAGTTATGCAATCCATATCATTTTTCTTTTCTTTACACATACCACAACCACACATTATGCTTTATTAAAAATTGTGACAAATTAAACATGGAAAAGATTAATTTGATAAAGGGAGTAAATGACATTACTATATTATTATAACAAATGAATAAGAAATAAATACTAGTAGGATAAAGGTATAGTCTCTTTGGTGATTTTGTATCATCGAATATCTTATATAATTTAGATTTGCTTAGAATGGATGAGAGTTTAATAGATGTTGTCAACGAGTTTGATAGTGTGGAGTGCATGCTCATTCAGCGATATTACAAACTCTATAATGGGAGTGCGGGGGCAGCAACCCCTGGTGGGATCCAAGGGGCAGAGCCCTTCACTATGGCAAGATAGCTGAGAAATTTTTTAATTTGGACATCGTTGCTTTGTGAAAATCTGTTGGGCTTTCAAATATGGAGTTCAGAATAATGAATGTTCGAGTGTACAAATCAACACATTCGAATGTTGTGTTTATCCAGCGCATCCTGTGGAAACAGTTTAATACATTCAAATGTTTGAACCCAAACATTCGAATGTTTTGCGATAAGTTGCAATAGTTCGCACTTAACTGTAGAAGTAACAATTCAATCCATCCACAAGTAAACATTTGAATGTTAGAGAGCCAACACTCGAATGTTAACCAAAAGTTGGTTATTTCATCAACCAACACGTTCTTTCAGAATATGGTACCTTGGTATGTTTCGAGAGACGATCGAGAAATCCATACCCGTTCTAGATTACTTAACTCAAAAAACTCATGGCCATGCATACCACCATAACCCCTATCTTCTTTTTCGCATACTATAGCCAAATGGCGAAAATTGGAGAGGGGAAATTTTTTTGTTAGGGAGCTAGATGAACAAATTACTTTTGGACCCAATGAAGTAAGTCCGAATTGGACCAGTTAAAACTCAAAATATTATTGTTATAGTAAAATGTAAGGGAGAGCAAGTCCCGAGTTGATCTTAAAATTTCACAAAACAATGAAAATGTATATAAACCAAAAAATATCGCAAAAGAACCGAGTTGTACGATACTAAACGGTCGTTATAGTATTTAGAAATGGTACGAGGTAATTACACTTACCAAAAATCCCAAACCGAACATATATACTACTCTCTCCGCCCCACACAACCTTTCTTCTTTCTTTTTTCATTCGTTTCAAAAAACCTTTCTTATTTCTATTAAAAATACACTTTTACCGCTACTAATTCTTAACCTACCTATCACATCACATTTTTTCATTATTAATCTACCCATACTGTTACCTATTATATCCAAGGGCATTTTTGGAAAGTCAACACCAAAATACACTCCCTTTAAATCCTTAAAAAGTCAAAACAAAAAGGTTTTGTGGGACGGAGGGAGTATAATATATTACAAAAATAATAATTTTTCTATATTTATTCATGAATTAACAAATTTATTTTAAAATTTGGCTGAAATTTTATTATGTATAAGTTATACTTTTTTTCGAGTTTTAGATAAATATAAAAATATTTGCAAACATTTGAAATACTATTTTGTTGTTCGTTTTTTTAGTTTGTGAAATGCTGGATTATGAACTAAATTTAATAGAAATTTCTTGGATTTAATAATTTATTTTTTTAATTTTTTATGAGTATAATGTTTTTATTTAAATGTACTTTTGTTTTTTTTTAAATAAAGGAGTTTGTTTACATTTTAAAGTATAAATTAGGTACGTGGATATTCATCTCAATTTGTGCCAACATTAATACCGTCCCATAAATTGATATCTAGATTGGGATTGGTATATTATAAAATTTCACCGATCCAAAATATTTGTTACGAATTTAGGATATTATTAAGACCAACCGATCCAAAATATTTGTTACGAATTTAGGATATTATTAAGACCAACCGATCCGAAATATTTGTTACGAATTTAGGATATTATTAAGACCAACCGATCCAAAATATTTGTTACGAATTTAGGATATTATTAAGACCAGCACATCAGCACTCTGAGTTATTCCCCTTTTATTTTCTTTTTTTAGGAAAGGGATCCATTCCTCCTTACTTAAAATAGTAGAAAAGGAGCGTTGCATTGCCACACAACCGGTTTATATCCCGTGGTTTCCTTCAGCTTCTGGCCTGCTTGACGATTCACCGATCTTCCGTAGATATCCAATCCATCATACCCAGGTATTTCATTCTCTCCTCAGTCTTCTTAGCTGCTTCAGCTTCCAGCCTTCTCCAAGAAAAATTCTGTCTTGTTTCAATCATCTGGATGTGAAACACAATTAGTAGATGTTTCTGTTGTTAATTATAAATTCATAGATTGTCCGCATTCCAAATCTGAAACACTACTCTCCAGATTAGCCCTATTATTTTTTCGAAGATTTGTTTGAAACACTATCTTATTTTCACGTTTCAGATATGTATATGCTTTGTTATACTTTTTCCATTTTGGCATTTTATATACTCCGTGTTTTATTGATGTTTAAAACCTATTAAGTTCTCTGATTTAGTTGGTATGCGGCCTGTGATACATAATCCTACCATCTGATCATCAAGAAAGAGTTACTTCTTGCGTTTTATCTACTTATCCTACGAACTCGGTAGGAGCTTTGCTTCCTTATTCCCCGAACAGAATCAGTCTATTCCCATTACATTGAGTTTGCTAAGAATGTGGTTCTACCTCACCTCTAAGCACTCGCTCAGGTTTCTGAAACTTTATGAACTTTTACAAACACACTATGATGAGGAATGGTAGGGAGTATTTGCATTTTCTAAAGTTTGAAAAGTTAAGAATGATATGGAGCATAAGGAAACCTTGATAACATTGAGTTTAGAAAAACATTTCCATGCATTTACTGATTTACTTTCATTTTTAAATGAGAAGATCATTAAGAATTTCTCCTAGTGGATAAATATGATTCTATGGAGTGGATATTACAATCTTTTCATACATCCTTTTTTTTCCTTTTAGGAAGCACCAATTTCTTCAATATGACCTGGTTAGGGCACTAAATCCTTGGAGAAATGACATCACTCCGCTCATCTGGATATGTAGATCCTGGTTGGGAGCATGGTGTTGCCCAAGATGAGAAGAAAAAGAAAGTCAGATGTAATTACTGTGGGAAAGTAGTCAGTGGTGGGATATACAGATTGAAGCAGCATTTAGCTCGCCTCACTGGTGAAGTCACTTACTGTGACAAGGCCCCAGAGGAAGTTTGCTTCAGAATGAGAGAAAATCTAGAAGGGTGTCGTTTCGGTAAAAAGCCTAGGCATTTCGAATATGATGAACAAACATATTTGAATTTCCATGGTAGTGATGACGCGGAAGAGGAGGATCAGATAGGGTACAAGAATAAAGGGAAGCAGTTGGCTAATAATGACAAGGGTTTGGTTATAAATTTGACCCCTCTCAGATCTCTTGGATATGTTGATCCTGGGTGGGAACATGGTGTCCCTCAGGACGAAAGAAAAAAGAAGGTAAAATGTAATTATTGTGAAAAAGTAGTGAGCGGGGGTATAAACCGTTTTAAGCAGCATATAGCAAGAATACCAGGGGAAGTTGCCCCTTGTAAAAATGCTCCTGAAGAAGTGTATCTTAGGATAAAAGAGAATATGAAATGGCACCGCACAGGAAGAAGGCATAGACGGCCCCATACTAAAGAGTTATCGGCCTTCTATATTAATAGCTCAGATAACGAAGACGATGAAAACGAATATGAAGATCTTGAAGAAGAGGCAGTGCAGAATGTGACCAATGAGAAACTTTTAATTGGGGATAATAAAAGAGTTGACAGAGACTCAATGAGGCATTTTAGAGGGGCATTATGTGCTAGTGTGTCTGAACCATTACCGAAAAGATCAAAGTTTGATGCATTTGAGGCAACACCAAAGGCGTCAATTCTTCAATCTCCTTCCGGGAAAACAAAAGCACGTTCTAACAAAAAACCCCTCAAGGAGGTCATGTCTGCAATCTGCAAGTTTTTCTATCATGCTGGAGTGCCTCCTCATGCAGCGAACTCTCCCTATTTTCATAAAGTGCTGGAGTTGGTTGGTCAGTATGGACAGAATTTTGTAGGCCCTTCAAGTCAAATGATATCTGGAAGGTTTCTACACAATGAAGTTGTAGTTATAAAAAATCATATTGCTGAGTATAAATCTTCATGGGCAGTCACGGGCTGTTCTATTTTGGTTGATAGTTGGAAAGACACGCAGGAGAGGGCTTTAATCAATATTTTGCTTTCTTGCCCTCGTGGCATGTACTTTGTTTGCTCTGTTGATATAACCAATGTTGTTGAGGATTCAGCATATCTATTTAAGCTTCTTGATGGAGTAGTGGAAGATATGGGTGAGGAATATGTCATACAGGTAACTTACCACATACTCCCTCCGTCCCAAAATAATCTTCTGCATGTTTTACTCCCTTCCCCCTTCAGTTTATCTTTAATCTTTCATTAGGCAATACTCCATCCGTCGCGAAAAAAGGTTCCACATATTTTTCTTTTGCTTGTCCCAAAATAAGGTTCTACTCTTCTTCCAAAGAAATTATTACATGGTTTACATTATTTCTCTTTTTTATAACTCTCAACGAATCAATTTCACCTTTTGTAATAAATGTGGAACCTTAATCTGGGACGGAGGGAGGGAGTAAAATGTGCCATACGTCTCCACCAATTACACAAATGACGAATTGACGACTAGATAAAAAACAAATACCATCTTCGTCCCAAAGAAGAGTCAGATTTGAACAAAGATGATGATTATCATTGGATTTAATTTAATTATTTTATTTCACAAAAGATCCAAACACAAGTTAAGTATGTTATATTTAGTTGAACAAACAAATAAATTTAAAAACAAAAGTAGTGTTTATAATTTATATCAGTTGTCTCTTACGAAGATTTAAAAGATGTACCTCGATGGAATAATTTTGTTTCGTGTGGGGTTAGTAATGATAAACTTTCCATGCAGGTGATCACTCCGAACACACCAAGCTATCAAGCTGCAGGAAAGATGCTTGAAGAAAAAAGAAAGCATCTGTTTTGGACACCTTGTGCTTCATATTGTATTGATAGAATTCTTGAAGATTTTTTGAAGATACAATGGGTTGGAGAATGTATGGAGAAAGGACAGAAGATTACAAAATTCATTTACAATCGTGTATGGCTGTTAGATCTTATGAAAAAGGAATTTACGGGAGGACAGGAACTTCTAAAACCATCTTTCACCAAATTTGCTTCAAGTTTTACTGTCGTCCAGAGTTTGCTGGACCAGAGGAATTGTCTTAAGAAAATGTTTCAATCAAACAAATGGCTTTCATCTCGGTATTCAAGGTCAGATGAGGGTAAAGAAGTTGAGAAAATTGTTCTGAGTGCATCATTTTGGAGGAAGATGCTTTATGTGAGGAAATCAGTTGACCCTATCTTGGAAGTTCTTCACAATATCAATAGCAATGATAGCCATACTATACCTTTTATCTACAATGACATGTACAAAGCAAAACTAGTAATCAAAGCTAATCACAATGATGACATCCGTAAATACCAGCTGTTTTGGGATGTAATAGACAATCACTGGAATATTTTATCTCACCACTCGCTCTACCTGTCCGCCTACTTTTTGAATCCTTCATACCGGTATCGTCCTGATTTTGTTCCGGTAGGAGAGGTTCATTATTTTATAGTTAATATAATTTAATTAATTTTAAAAATTGTTTAGCTAATACAGCTGTATCTCTTTTGGAACACGAGCATAATTGTAGCATCCAGAGGTTGTACGTGGGCTGAATGGATGCATTGTTAAACTGGAACCAGACAGCGCCCGAAGAATTTCTGCTTCCATGCAGGTTAGGGTTTCCTTAATTATTTCTTTCTTTGGAGAAGATGAATGAATGTCTCTTCTGCCTCACTTTCCCTGCTGTTAACACTGTCTCAATACAATGCCTATAGATATCTGAATTTAATGCTGCTAAAGCTGATTTTGGGACTGATCTGGCAATTAGTACCAGAATGGAGCTTAATCCAGGTTATACTAACATCCGTCTTTTGAAAACCAATTTGTATGTGGGATCACAGATGAAAATGTCTTTTTCATATGTTTCTGCATGAAATTCTGAGTTTGTTCTGACGTATATAATCCTCTATAGCTGCATGGTGGCAACAACATGGGATAAATTGTTTAGAGCTGCAGCGTATAGCTGTACGGATACTCAGTCAAACGTGCTCATCCTTTGGGTGTGAGCATAACTGGAGTGTTTATGATCACACTCACAGTGAAAGGCATAACCATTTGGCACAGAAAAGATTGAATGATGCAATCTTTGTCCATTATAACCTACGACTTAGGGAACGACAGAGGTTGATAATGTCCAATGACTCAATTGCTCTTGACAGTGTGCTGCAAGAAAGTTTGTTGTATGATTGGATTGTAGCATCAGACAAACAAGTCTTTCAAGAAGACGAGGTACTAAATAGCCACCCCCACCCCCAACTTTCGGCAATCCTTAATTTCCTACACAAAATCTTATTATTTCATAATAATTTGCAGGAAGGTCTGTACAGTGAAATGGAACTTGGTGTATATGATAATGACTTCATGGAGCATGATGGTGGCAGAAATGAGATGGAGATGGCAACTCTAGCTAGCATGGCTGGACCACTGGAAGTGCATCATGGGGGGGCAACTGATGATGATGAGGATGACGATGATCTCAATTTTCTAGACGACGACATAAGTGAGTAGAATCCCAACTCTCTGAAACCAACAGACTTCAGGTAACCTATTTCCAGCTTGGTGGCAGTAAGACCATCATACAAAAAAATGTTTTATGCTTAAGGAGACCACCAGAATCATCATGAAAGAGGCCTCCTTTGTTGTACTCTCACCTAAACAAGGGAAAGAGAAATAGAGAAGACCGACTCTGAGTTGTACTAATTTAGCCAAAGTCCCTTATGCAGGGGCAAATAAGGAAAAGATTTGCGATGGCATTTGTGAATCCATTTTTGTGCTGTACTTAATATGTGCATGAAAGACAGCTTGTAGAAGATGATGATGGATGATGAGGTAAGCTGGCTGGTTATTTTGTTGCAAGGGGAAATTACTTTCAATGTCTGGCTTACAATGATGTACATCACCTGACCCAAAAAGATACTGAAATTCTGGATTTGATTCGACCATTTCATGTTCTTTTTTCCCCGGGGGTATTAGAGATGCCATATTGTGTATCATGTTCTTGTTTGGGGTTGATAAAAACCAATATTGTTCAAGTGCATCGTGAGCTCAAACCGAAGATAGAGGTACATGTACCAGTAATGTTAATGACAGAAATAAATCATTAGGCTAGATTCTGCAGGTGATACAATACCAATTAGGAAGTCTGAACATGAAAAAATAGTCTGATTTTGTTTTATGTATATCCATCTTGATTTTAGGGGATTGGTTGAGTGCTTCTTTGGCGAATCTAAGGTCCATACCATTTTTTTTGCACATTCTCACATATTTGCTAGTAACCTTTTTGCTTACCACAATCATATGAAGGTCCACAAAAAATAGGATCAACTTTAGGGTAACCATAGCATTTGACGGATTTAGCAAAAGTTCAAGAGATATGGAGTGATATCTGTTGTTTTATGTAATACTTAGGGCTCGTTTGATGAGCATATGAGATATATGCTTTGATACCTTTTGATATCAAAATTTTATTGTGGGTGTTTCTTGAAACTTAAACAAAATATGATCTTTCGGTATCTCTTTCAATCGTTAGCCACTAGTTATCGCTGAACATCCGCCACCATTGGACACTCCCTATCGGTGACCACTTGTCATCTATTATTGTCGGCCACCCACCGTCCCGATCATTTGCATGTCGTTAACAATTATGGAGTATCATTTTAGATCTTTCCAAGCGCTTTTTTTTTAAAATTTTTAACCAATATCATTTCTTTTAAAATTCATATCATATTTAACAAAACAGACTATTAAAGTATTTGGAAGTTGGTTACTCATTGTGGTTGAATTTAAGTCATTTTTATTAATCATGGGTCACTATTAGACGTGACAAAAGTCATCTGATTCAAAAAGGTCCATCCGAAATACTTGAAACTCTCATAGATTTGAACCCAAAAAGACAGCTTATTTTTTAGCTCGAACCAAAAAGATGACCAGAACAAGAAAAATATAAACTTTATTTTTTTAGACAATTATTTTTCAAGGGGGAAAAGTTTTTTACACAAAAAATCAAGTGACCTAAAATCACCCATATTTTAAGCTTGACTGACTTGTATCTTGCTGATCTGAAATTTAATCTGATTCATAATTGATTCAACTCGAACCCAAATTGAATGACCTAATTGCTAGGTCTAGTCATTCCAATCTAAACTATGGGCCTGTTTGGGAATAGCGTTAGAGAATAGCGTTAGTGTTTTGGATAAAATTTTAACGGTGTAAATTACTTTGAAAATGCTAACGCTAAACGCTGCCCGTAGATATTATTTTCAAAACGCTAACTCTAATCGCTAATGCTATTCCCAAACAGGTCCTATAAGAGGGTGTTTGGCAGTGCGTTGCTTTTAACAATTTAGCTTCTGCTTAAAGTGAAAGTGATTTTAGTCTGTTTGGCATGTCAGCTTCTGCTTTTCACCAACATTATTTCGTACATGGAACACCGTTTCGGAGAAGCAAGTATGAGGTACTTTTGCTTTCAGCTTTTGTAGAAATTACTTTATTCATAAGCTAATCACTCCCAAACACCCTCTAAGTAAGCTATATTTAAGCTAGGAGATTAGTCCTATTAGAAATTAAATATCCTTTAGATTGAGTAATAGCTCAATTTATATGGTCTTAACTAACTGCTCGATTTTTTTAAAAAAATTAATCCCCTCTTAGAAATTAAAAATACTAAGGTCTTACAAAGATCCTCCTTGGTAGGTGAACACTCCATCTATTTCAAAGTAAAGTTTACAAAATTAAAAAAAAGTTGTCTTAAAAAAAATATTTGGGGAAAAGTAAAAGGCGTAGTTGAAATTTATTAAGAAGAAAATGATAAGAGTAAAATATTCCATCCTTGTAAGGAAATTAGAAAAGTGTAAACTCTATGTTGATACATCCAAAAAACAAATCTGAAAATCATTTTGATACAATGAATGTTCCATACTTCCTTTAGGGTGATTAAGGTTGTTTGGCAAAGTTAACTACTCTTAATTTTCTTCCCCCTATATATTACTCCCTCCGTGTCTAAAACATTTGTTGTTATTTGCAGTGTTTGATTGAAATTATTTTCAATTTTATTTATTAAAAAGTTGGAGTGAAGTTAAAAAAAATTATGTATTCACAACTCCCTAGTATCAAATAACAAAGAAAATGGATAAAATTAGGCAATATGAATAGTGTGAATAGTTTTTTAATAATACAAAATAACTTTAAAAATATCAAAGCCAAACACTGCCGGTAGATACCTTTTTTGAAACCCTAAAACTAAACGCTGAATCTATTTCAAAATTCTCACCTAAATTTTAGTCTGCTATTCTTATTAGCCATAAACAATTGTAATGTCTCTATCTTCATTAACATTTATCCCCGCAATGTAATTCAATATATTGTAATCAAACTCTGCAAAAACAAAATGTATACCACCAAAAAATTTATGTTTCTAGTTTTCCAGTGAAAGAATCAAATAAATTTAAAATTCGCAATGAGAATTAGCAATAGTAAGACGAACAGCTCAAACACAACATCTGCCTTTTGACCCTTCTCTCCCTCTAATAAATGATGAAAATTGCTGAGCAAATATAGAGAATGGATTCCCCATTCACTATCCCCTTTTCCATGAATGCAGCTCTGCTTAATTGGGATTTGCAATGGATCCAAAGAGCAATGATCAACCAGCTATACAACAAGTAGAGCATTAGATTTTTAGTTTGTTTTCAATTGTGTATTTTCAAATAGGAGACAAAAAATAAACGCGGTGTAATTGCTACGAGTAGATTCCATAAACAGCTACTCGTTACTTACAGAAAAAGACAAGATTAATAACGAATCCCACGCTAAAAATACTGTTAATGACTACAGTATGTACCTCTGTTTGCCGGGAGGGAGAACCATATCTGCCAAGAGTTAGAAAACCGGGGCGAAACACAGGTCAGATGATATCCAACATTTGGAATCTCCCTTCACTTGTGCTCCTCAACATTTGCTTGGAAGGTTAGTGACAGATTTCGTAGTATTCGTACTTCCCTTTGTTGGTTTTTCTTTGTCAGTAACTTTCCCATCATTCAAGGGACTGACCAATTCTTTGTGTGGTTCTGGAACAAAATTGTTGTCTTTGGAAGATTTCTGTAGTACAGCTTTGTCCTTTGGAAGGCCGGCGGGGGCATGTTGCTTTGCAGTGGGTTTCTCCGGATTAGGATTGGGCAACAATGCACGACGGCTTAACCTAAGCTGTCCTTTCTCATTGATCTGTAATCGGGCAAATTGATTTTTAAATAATTAGGTAATATTTGGTTACATTTAATCACATTTCATTTCGTCACTCCTGACCAAACTAAACCTTAATTTTTAGAAATCTCACGTCACGAGCCATTAAGTTCTGTTATTTTATATCAGGACTAAGAAACAGATACTGGTAGGAGTTACTCAAGAAAATCATAAATACAAGTCTAACCTCAATAAGCTTGACATCAATATGCTCTCCTACTTTAACAGCCTGAATCAGTAAAAAAAAAAGATCACTATGTATAAAACTGTATTTTGATATGTAAGTGTCACCAAGTTGAAGTTAGAGAGAGCTCACATCCTCTGCTTTAGACACCCAATCTGCACTCAATTCACTGACATGACACAGTCCCTACATTTAAAAGTATAGATGAGCAATTTCTAGAGTGCAGGACAATAAAATCCATTGTCATGTAAGATCTAAAAATCACTAAAAGGCATGCAAGTGTGCATAATAGATGTAGAAAACCTTTAAAATAGATAATACCTCACGGCCAGGGGCAATCTCTACGAAAACTCCATAAGGAAGAACTGATTTTATCTTACAATTCCTGGTTGAGGCAGGAGAATAACAAAAGGAAATATAAATTAAAAAAGAGTATTCGACATAGTAGATTGAATTAGTACATTGCCCTTTTCCATTTGTCGTATGAGTTCGATGTAATGTTATTTTCAAAATTAATTCGTTTGATATTAGCTTGAAGATAACTCTGTCCACATATACTATTAGAAGGAAGTTTTATTTCTGAAGTATCATCAATAACAGGGGACATATAAGCATTTATAGTATATTTGATTTACTTCAATAAGCATATTAGAGTTGGTGGGGAGTTCCATTAGTATAAAAGGCCAATAGGATATTAATTTCAGGAGGGGGAGGGAAGGTAGGGGGGAGGGGTGTTCAATTGGGATGCCAGAAAGCTGCGTAAAAGGAAATAATAAATTGAAAATGCATTTCATTTCTTTTAAAAGCAACCAAGTATTTCTTGACCTTCATAATAAAACTGTTTGCGTCAGTAAGGCAGTTAAACAAAACAGACCTGTATATGTCACCAACTGTTGGAACCATCGTGAGATTACCAATAATGGCTTTAGCTTTTTCTAAAGTCTTCAAATCCTTTGCGGTTATCTTCACCTGCAAATTGACAGATGTGACACTTAAGATTGTTAGTTTGATCTCTGAGAAGTGACGCATATAACAATCAAATGAGATATTTCCCTAGCTTACAACTCCATCGCCTTGTGTCTCTATATCTTCAACCTTGGTTTCCTCAATAATGCTCCTCACTTTTTTTCCACCAGAACCAATGATAAGATTCAATTTCTCGGGTTTGATCTATGGAATAATTAAATTAGAGAAGGATAATATATGACAATATCCTCATCGGCTCATACTAAATAAAACAAATACTGCATTGAATCAAGAACAAACCTTCATCACATGGATTATTGGAGCATATTTCGAGAGCATCTTTGAAGGAGGTGGTGAGCATTTCAACATCTCAGCTGGAAATACAAAACAGGAGAAGTGAGCTACTCTACAGTGGAAAGGTTTAAGCAACAAGGACATGAAAAAAAAAGGAAAATGCATTCAGATACCATCCCATCACCATCATTTCTGGCTTTGAAACTCTTAAGCTAATATAAAAAATACTAGATACTATTCAGTGACCTTAATTAACACGTGTTGCAGAAAAGGGGATATTTAAGGCTACACAGGTGTTCCTTTTTTAACCAGCAAATTAAAACAAAAAGAAAACCTTTAAGCAAAGCAATTAAACTGGAATTTTCAGTTGTGCTTATCTTAAGTCACCGAAAGTTTTTTCCCAGTTTTTAAAGATTAATTCATTGATAGGGACAAAGAGCACATTGTTCATTTCCACTATTCAAAATTTCAAGATGTGGAAAGAGATGTGAGAGAGCACTTCTACAACAAGAAGATAAAGTTACCGAGGATCTTTTTACGACCGTCTTTTGCTTGTAAGAGAGCTTGTTTCATGATTGGTAATGTAATTCCTACTACCTGAGCATGGCATGATAAATTTGTTAGAGGTGAAATGGTCTAATCACAATCACAGTCTAACCCTTTAGACCAACATAAAGTTGCTCCTTAAAGAAAATAAGATCCTTCAAGTCTTCAACCAAAATCAAATAAACCTAACTGCACCCAAGCCTACATGAAAGTGCTAACCGATTACACTACACTCCCCTGCCCCTTGAAAAACTTTATGTTTTTCTTTTCTATTTTGAAAAATAAACTTCACCTTTCCTACTTTCGAGTAGGGGTAAGGTTGGTGAACACACACAGTCACACACACACCAGATCCTACTCTCGTGGGATCCAATTGGGTTGTTGTAGTTGTAAACTTCACCTTTCTTCTTAAGGGAAGACATGTGTGTTTGATATTTATAAATAAATATATCCACACAAATCTCCACATATTCAGGGATAGAAGAAATATCCACAACACAACAAACCTAGTAAAAATGTAAAATTCTAACTTCATTGGGGTCTAAGAGCTTGTTTGTCTGATCTAATTTATTTGATCTGGTCTGATCTGATCTCATTCCAATAAGAATAAGTAACACTCCCTCCGTTTCACAAAATAGTTCCGACCTAAGGGTTTTTTGCACATCCTACAAAACACTTCTACCCCACCTAAAATATCTAAAATACCCCAAAAACAACTTCTAACCGCAATAAAGGAAAAATGGGGTGTATTCACAAGGATTTTAGGTGGGGTAAAAGTGTTTTGTGAGGTGCTCAAAAAGTTAGTATGAAATTGTTTTGTGAAACAAAGGGAGTAAATAATAAGAATAAGTTGAAAAGAACAAGCTAAGTGGTCAAAATGTGCGCAACCTTACCCCCACTAAAAACAAAGGCTATTTCCGTGAGACCCTAGTACCCTAAATGCAATGCTGCATTTACTCCCCAACACTTCATAGAAAGTACCAGAGTAAGAAGAGGGGAAGTTAATGTGCCATTCTGTTTAGTCCATTACTTGCCCAAGGCTAAAACAATGTCAACATGACTCTTTTAAACCAAAGGACTATCAAAGAGCAAAAACAATTAGAAAAGCTACCTTTATGTCCATTTGGAATGCAGTTATTCCATCATCATTACCAGCAACCTACAGTACCAAAATGAATTTTTTTAATTCCCCATGTTGTGCGGGCAAGGGGGCGGTTAGGGGGTAGGAACCACTTTCGGGCCCAATGGAGCACCTTAGGTGCCCGAAGTCATCCCATAACATTGATGCTCAACGTCAAGGGAATCGTGGTGATCATAGACACACACACACACAGACAGAAAATACTGCAGGGAAATATCTATTTGGATGTGGTGCATGTGTATCACAACAAAGAATTATTGTTACACTCAGTTTCTAGTTTCTACCCAACTAATGAAGAAAAAACAGACTTATGAACATAACAACATAAAATGAGAGTAGCCCATGACACATTCCACAGCAAAGGGAATGTGTACCTGATAGAGCCATTAATGTATACCTGAGAGAAATACCTAACTACGGCTAGCTCAGATTCATATGCAGCCAAGTAGGCAGAGAAATACATTGAGGTTTGTCTACATTACACCCCTTACACCCTTGTGGTGGGACCGTTCTCCAGGCCCCCGTTTTTGGGGATGCTTTGGGTGCCGGGCTGCCCTTTTTTATATGAATAGGTGATGGAATTGATGCAGCTCATTATCAGTGCAAGGAAAATATTAGGCTGGCACATAGGTTTTCAGTTTTTTAGAACACACTACTCATGTGGCCATGAGTGTTGTCCTTTGGTCTTTCCTGTCTTAGCCTAATAAGCTCTCATGGAGGAATGACAAATGGAACTTGATGCTTCTTTCCATTTTCACAATTATCAAAAGACAAAGTCTTATTTTCTCAGCTGAATTGAAACGGTGGGCAAACAGATGTAGTGTTAATTAGTGGCAATTGCACCAAATCAGCACAGGTAACTTGGCATTGAAGTATCTAAGATAAATGACGATGATTGTTATGCGCAGCTACAATAAGTGATCCTATAAAGGATTCAAGGTTCAAACCGAATGCCATTACCCAAAAAATATTTCTAACACAAACGCTCAAAGTATTGAACCGTTTTGCCAAAGAAAGTGACATAAATAATGATGGGCAACCTCATAAGCATAGAGTGATACAAGATACTAAACTGCACCTTAAAATCCATATCGCCTGATGCATCCTCGGATCCTGTGATGTCAGAAAGAATTAGGGGAGTTCCATTGCCCCCAAATTCTTTAGTGTCCAAAACCATACCCATAGCTATACCAGCGATAGAGCACTTCAAAGGAACACCAGCATCCTGCAATGCTAAGCACCCTCCACATACAGATGCCATACTGTCACACAGAAAATTACATGGCCACATGAGGGCAACAAAAAATCAAGGGGTTTTAAGATACCATATCAGCAGCAAGAAATCAGTACACAAATAGTTACAAGCTAATAATAATAAACATGTGTGGTTGTGTACATAATTCAGTAAAGTCTTCAAGAACTATACCTCGATGAGCCATTGCTTTCAGTTATAGTACTCTCAACACGTATTGTGTAAGGAAAGTCATCGCAAGAAGGCAGTATGGGTTCTAGTGATCTCTCTGCCAGCATCCCGTGACCTATCTCCCTTCTAGATGGTGCTCCTGCCCGTCCAACTTCACCAACACATGAGGGAGGAAAAGAGTACTAGACACAGTCAAGGAAGATAAAGTGTTCTACTTAGAAATGCTGTTCGAATAACATAACTTGAGCAGCATCAAGGATCACTCAAGCACAGTAAGCTTGACTAGAAAGCAGTTTTGCATTGAAAGACTTTGCTAATCTCCATTAAATTGAGGAATAACAAATAGCCAAGAATTTAAAAAAAAAAATCATAAAAATCATTAAAAAAAATTATGGGGGCTTCCTAGTTACTTCCATATGCAATCCGATATAGCAGCAACCCAGAGAAAGTGAAATAATAATAATAATGATATGTTAAAGAGTATCCCACATCAGAACTCACCGAGAAAAATAAACTGGTATATAAGCTCTTGAGTTGAATTAAGTAATCGATTGGATTCAATCTTTTAATGTGGTTCAACTCAAATGTCTTATGGCCCAATCCAATAATCCTTACCCCATCCTAATTTTATCACGGTATCAAAGCAGGTTTGGCCCGCCTCGTTTGTCAAGGTGTCCGTCTAGACGTTCATTCCTAGTGGCTCATTTGTCTTTAGCCCAGTTGTCCGTATGGAGTATGTATCCAACGGTATGTGGCCCGTTTAACCCGATTGCTCGTCTCGAAGTTCATACCCAGCGGCTCGTGGTCCTTTAGGCATTGGCGCTCAAAAAAAATCATCAACTGGATGGGAGTCCATTTGCAAGTGGTCAACCGGTTAGATTCAGAATGGCCTGGTTGTCCAATTGAGGGGAAATGTTAAAGAGTATCCCACATCGGAACTCACCAAGAAAGTAAACCGGTATATAAGCTCTTGAGTTGAATTAAGTAATCGATTGGATTCAACTCAAATGTCTTATGGCCCAATCCAGTAATCCTTACCCCATCCTAATTTTATCACGGAGTAATAATAATAATACAAAATTATTATTGATAATAACGAGTCCATTACAGGTCAACAGTGTAGCTATAACTTTGACTTTGAATACGAGTTAAGCTTAAACCACAACTTAGTATGCCTTGAAGAATATGAATATGAAAGAGTAGCTAGACATGGGATTTACTATTGAAACTTTCCATCTAGTAGGCTTATGTAGCTTATATATTACTCCCTCCATCCTGAGTTATGGTTCCACATTTGATGGGGCATGGGTATTTAAAAAGGTGGAATTGTGTGGTTGAGAGCTATGCACATGAGAGAAATGATGTAAACCATATAAACATATTTTTATTACGAACATTGAAACATTCTTTGGGACAAACGAAAAAGAAATATGGAACGGAGGGAGTAGTATAGAACAACTGAACTTCCTCTTTCCATGATGCTGAGTGTCAAAAAGCTAGGAACATATGATATCCATACAGCAAAAACTTACTATGCTCATAGACATACCTACCATGCCAAATCTGTTTTACCAGGTTTCCCCCAAGACTTTCAATGAAATAAACAAATAGGTGGGCTTTCCGGAAAAGTTAAACAACTCTTTTCCCCTTGCATCTCAGTCACTTTTACTTTTTCCTTATTTCATAATCCCCGGGGTATGATACCTTATAGCTTCACAGTGACAGGTCATTTTCTCATTACTTTGGGTCTCTCATTTTTTCATTGGCATTAATATAGTGAGATTTCAAAGAAATCGGCTTCCTTTTCATGGCATCTTATTATCTGCAGGAGTCCCACTCCCACAGCAATTAATAGCTTTTAATCAGAAATCAGTAAAAACAACATGCAATGCTTTGGCAATATGATTACCTGGTAAACAACAGACCAAAAATGCAAAACAAAAAAAACAGAAATTCAGAATAGAGCACATACACATCTAAAAAAATGTACCTGCAGATAGAACCTCTTAAATTCATCTTCATCAACAATGTTATCTATCCTTTGTGCCATTTGTCTATCACCAAGTGTAACCACAGCTAAAGACTGACAACATGAGCAGTGGAAAACCGGAAGAAGAATAAGATAACATAACCATTGAGGTAAAGTTTTTTATCATTGATTTAACACAAGCACAGATGAATTCAAATTAACAACTTCATTGTCAATACATTAGACATTCTATTTGTATTCAAAATGTTGTTAGCAAGATATGTGAGCCAATCAATACCAACCAACCCTTAAATATATCACAACTTCGACGAATATCAGCAAGGCCAACTTATTTATGTGGTTTCATTCTTTTCAAAGTGTTATAAAGATTTGCAGCAGCAAGGAAATATATATTGTTATAATAGAACGCCACTAGATATGCAGTTTTATAGTGCTGGATAGTGAAAAATGAAATTTGAAATATAAAGGCTGCATTTTACATATTCCTAGAATCATATCACAAACTTGATTGACATATTCACTATTCACGAATTCTACATGGGATCTGTTATTTGTGTGCACATTATAATGTATGTATTATATATACAGTTGTTACACACTTATGCCTGTATTTTACTATTTTTGAATGCATACACATGTTCAAGAGGATCTGTTACACATATGGGCATTATACTACAATACTAAAAATTCTTTAATGGTTCACCTGTTTGATAACTCTTTAAACTTTACATTATAGTATTGTTAAAATAGTCCTTTTGACAATGTTTTAACTTCAGGTAAATAGTGAACCAAATCAAAATGGCACATTAAACTTTCTTCGCTTCTTACTTCCAATGAACTTCTGGGAAGTAAATGCAACAATGCATCAATGCTCTAACGAAAAGAGCCTCTCTCTTTGATAGGGGTTAGGTTGCATACATCTTGACCCCTAGAGTCTAGACCTCTATGAAGTTGTTTTTGTTGCAATGTTTGTGAGAGAACTTGACTAGAGCAAGATATTATGTACAATGTAAATCTTGTTAGAAAAATAAAGATGTGCACATTTCACAATTCACATGTATGTAAATAGAGGAAACTGCCAAAAACAAAATACGAACTTGATACATATTGTTGAAGCCAAGCAAATATCAACCTGTGTTTCACCTCGAGTAAAAAGGGCACTTCCATGTGCTCTGGGAAGTAGTCCACAACATGAATTGATTGGTCGTAGCTCGTGAAGAGTTCTTCCATCACTTCTTTTTCCACCCTGTCAAACAAATAAACACATCACAAAAGAAAATAACTTTTAACGGATAGTAACATTTCGATTTCAAATGATTCGAAAATTTGAAATATACTTCAACGACAGGGTTCTGAGAGGCCTAAGGGGGCTTACAAACATTAACATCATAAAAGCATTTCTAGTAGCATGATTGTTAATGAAATGTAAGATTAGATTGCTATATATTCAACATACGTCAGAGTGGCGACTAATTTTTATTTCAATTTACAAGCGCATGCGTATACATACTCATAAGACATAAGATATACCTGGAGTACACCAATCTATTAGCTCATGCAGACATACTTATAAGGCATACACTATACCTAAAGTACACCAATCTGTTCACACACATACACTATGTCTGGCTCAAGAAATTTAAAAGAGAAAAGAAAAGAAAATGGCATGGAAAACATTTTTTCTTGTTTGGTTAGTAAGGAAATGAAAAGAAAAGTAGAAGGAAAAGAATATTAGAGGAAAAAGTAACAACAACAACAACAACAACCACCCTGATGTATCCCATGAGAGTAGGGTCTAGCAGAGAAAAAAGTAAGAAGAGGGAAAACCAGAGTCTTTCCATTTTGGTGAGGAAAAGGAGAGAGGTTCATCTTGTCCATTCCTTTCTAATTCCTTGAACCAAACATAGTGCTAAAGCCAAAGCACACGTAAAATTTATTAAACTCAACACATAACGCGGGTGAAGTATGGCGTCCACACATATGCCTAAATGCAAAATAGAGATATCTAAATGGGAAAAAAAATTCCAGTCTAGAAACAGTCAATTCAAAAAATATATATAAAAGTATGGTACCAAAAAGAACTTTCCTGATAATGCAATTTTCAAGTTAGATCTTTCTATTTTACTTAGTGAAACTTCACCTCCACAATCCGCTTGCGCAAAAATTTGGATGTGATCTCTTTAAATACCAGCTTCACGTCTACCTCGGAAAATAGCTGGAAATCAAAAATAAAACTAACCAAATTAGTACAATTATAGTAGTTTACATATAGTTTGAGTTGGGTGTCTTTTGGAAAAAGCCTTTCTATATCCGAGTAGGGGTAAGGTCTGCGTACACACACCCTCCCCGGACCCTACTATTGTGGGATCTTACTGTGTTTGTTGTTTATGTAATAGTTTACATATAAACATGGAACTAATAGAAAAACTTAGGTTTTCAATGTGCATATTTACAACAAGTCAACAACAACAAACATAGTGTAGGCCCACGTGTGGGGTCTCACGAGGGTAAGATGTAGGAAGACCTTACCTCTACGCATGAAGATTGAAAAGGTCAGATAAAAGTGAACAAAGGAATAAAACCAAAGTAAAATAACGAGATACACTAAAAGTGTATCATCACATGAGTCATGAAATCTAGAACACCAAAGAGCAAACGTAGACACAAAAGATGGAAGGGCTACCCTTCCACCTCAAAAATTAAAGCAACTAAGACTACACCACCGCCCGGGTGGCATAGCTAAGGTAGTTGAGAGGTGAGTGCCAAAGGGGGTAAATCCGGGTTCGACTCCTCGCAAAAGCAATAAAGAATGACCATGCTCTGTGTGGGGTTCTTGCCCATACCAGGACAGGCTTCACTTCCTATCAACCATACTGAGACTATAACTAAGATTTACCTCCTCCCAACCCCCCCCCCCCTCCCCCTCCCTCGGTACAGGGGACCTGAGGGTTGGGGTTCAACCTTTTTTTTACTAAGACTACACGACCACCCTGAGTTAGGTCAAGCCTTGTCTAATAACCCCTTTGTCTTTGCCCTACCTCTACTTCTCCTAGCTCATGGGATCGTCAAACTTTCACACATCCTACTTGGCCCAATCACACCTCTTCTCTTCCCATGTCCGAACCATCATAGTCTGCTTCCATTATCTTGTCCACCGCGCCCGCCACTGGCCTTTGCACGTATGATGATTGAATTTTGATTTCTAGATGTTCGCACATTTAACCCAAAAATTCTTAATGACTAGAACATGGAAAAGTTTATTTATTTTCCTTAAGAGTGTTACCTAAGAACTTATTTATAAACCAAATAGGACCATTGGGCAAAAGATCCATATTAAAGTTGTGGTATCTGACATAGTAGAAAACTCCGAACGTCATTTTAATAGATCGATATTCGATGGGGTAAAAAAATCATATCCATCAAACAAGTGGTACAAAAGATTTAGGGCTCAAAAAATTTAAACCTCATCTAAAGATTAAAAGATATGGAGTAGATGATAAACTCACTCAAAGTTAGAAGTATCATAAGTCAAATATTAATAGACAATAATCTAACACATCCGAAAACAAGGTTTGTTTAATATTGTAGCAAATCTATTTTGGGGATGGAAAGAGTAACATGTAATGAACAAAAAATGATTTAGCTTCTCTGAAATGTTAATAAAGAAAACAAAATACGATAGCTATCCATATATTTATAACACACATTTGTAGCATTTGGCTTTGGTATAAATGACATATGTGGAAGCACACTAAAAGCAATCAAATATAATCAAACAAGATATGATTTACTTTGGGCTCATATTGTAAGTATCAATCTACAACAATAAAAGTATTCAAATAGATAATACTCTCTATGCTCAAGGCCCTATTTGACGCAAAACTTTTTGGACAACTATTTGTTGAAAAGAAGCTTTTAGAGAAATGATGGGTCAACTTTTAGTAGTGTTTGGTGAGCAGCTTCTTGGAACAACTTTTTGGAAAAGTTCCAAAAAGCTTATTTCTCAAGCATTTTGATGACATCTTTTTCATTCTACAACTTTTTACCTTTAAAACCTCAAACAACTCATACAAATTGCTTATCTTACCAAAATGTTTCTTTCGTTAAACAGCTAGCAAAAATAGATGACATAAACATCCACCCAAACAGCTAATGCGCACAACTAACCGCTCACCATAATTATTAAAGGTGCTCACCTCTCATGCCTATGGCGCCTCAGGCTAACAGGCGAGGCAAGATCCCTAAGGCGGTCGCCTTTTATGGTTTTGTCGCCTCAATCGCTGCCTTAGGCGATCGCCTAGCTTGCCTTTAGAGTACCTTATGCATATTTTGTTTTCCTATGAGAATTATGTAGTGTTTAAGGCTTTAGGATATGCAATGCATAATATTTAGAAAAATTTGCACTATATAGGACAAAAACATAAGTCATTTCCCAATATAGGACTTGAACTTTTTATTTTCTAAATAGGGCTTAATAATGTCTAATGGGAGGAATAATGTCTTGTGATGGTAGACATTTACCTTAATAATGACTAAGGAATAATGACCAATGGTCCTACATTGGGAAATAAAAACATATGGTCATATATTGAGAAAGTCATTATCTTTTAGTCTTATTTGGGTAAATTACCCTAATATTTATTGCTATATATTACTCCGTAATATGTATATATATTTTATCTATATTGTGACATACATATATAGCAATATATATATATATATATATATATATATATATATATGCATGTATGTATGTTTGCTTTTTGACCGCCCGCCTCTGGCCTCAAAAAGGTTCTCTCACCCGCCCTTTGCCTCTCGCCTTTAATAACTATGCCGCTCCCACAAACATCTATCATGAGTAACAGCTCACACTCTTCACAGTTGTATGCCAGACAAGGAAAAGATTAATTTTTTTTGAAGGGAAAAGATTAATTTATATGATAGTAAACCTATTTTCACACATGATACATAAGCTTCACTTATTCCTAAATTTTAGTTATAAAATAAACATTAGTTTTTTTCCCTTTCTGTTAAACTTTTATTCATTTAAATATTATATTTTAGATTTCTCTCCCCATCACATCAAGTACTTCGTTTCTAATTTCACTATTGTATCTCTTCAAATCAATATTACTCCCTCAGGCCTAATTTATTGTGTTTGTTTGCCTTTTTATCGCCCAAATTCATTGTTCCTGTTTCAATTTATTGCAAGCATTATGTGGTTTATATTGTTTCTCACTATTCCCCATAAATCTAAACCATACAACCATCAGTTTATTTATCTTTGTGCCCAGTGGGCACAAGTTGGGACGTCGATAGAGAGTAGAGACTATAGAGTATACATTCTCTTTCTGTTTACATACTTTTCTTATTAAGTGTGGCTAAACCTTCTATGAATTTGATTTCAAGATAGAGGGATTATAAAATTAAAAATCACTCATATTTGTCAGGACCTAGCCATAATCTGGGCTATAAAAAAAGATAAGGTCATATAAAATGAAGGTCTAATCCTTAATTTTTAGAGTCAAGCTATTGACATCTCTATTTACAACAAATGTTTGATATATAAAGGGTTCTTTCGTACAAGTAAATCTGTAGATTAAACTCCATCCTCATAGAAGCTCCATAAATAACTGGCCTAATAAAGCATATCACATTATCACATAAATAGCTTGCATAAGAGCTGCTTAAACTTTAGAATTGGCTAAAAGAATGGTTTATAACGTTTTTCTTTAATGAGTTTAATCATAGACTTATAGGTCATGTAGAAACTCAGATGTATATTACGAAATATTGTGTACTAGAATTTACTTATGTTATCAATTATATATCTCCATTGAATAAGCAATCATTTTGATACTAAAGAACAGCTCAAAAAAACTAGAATAATATCTTACCTTATTCATTTTTAACACACAAGAGTGAATTAAAAAAGCATTGAATTATAAACAAAAAAACTCAGAGTAATACCAAGGGAACATATTTCTTTCCAACCGGCTTTATGTGAACATCACCTTCATCAACTTCGCCATCAACGATAACTTCTTCATCCTCATCTTCCAATGACTCTAGTGAATGTTCATTGGGTACATGTTCTTCTATCTTCCTGACATATCCCTTTTCTGAAAGTATACTTGTAACCTCACTCTCTAGTAATGCTAATGCTTTCCTTCTAGGAATCTTATTTTTTATTTGTAAAAGTTCTGATAATTCAGGACCAGCAATTTCCTGGAGAAAAATATAAATATTCAAGTGATAAGGTGCATGTCCTACAACTGGTAAGAGCGCAAACTAAATGGCCAGGTGAAAGTAAACAAGTACATCAAAGAACACAGCTCAAGGGGGGACAAGAGAGGGTGATGGTATGTGACAACTATGGAGTATATATCAATATAATTAAATTTGTCTCTAACTGAGAGAAGACAGAAAAGTCTATTATATAGAATAGACAGGACTAAACCCTCCGAAAAGAACCAAATCTGCCTCTATGAGAAGATTCATAACATACTTCGACTAAATTATAGAGTTCCGGAGGAGGTAACTTGATTGCATCAAACATCTTTGGCTTTCCACATTTCTCCACTAGAGCTTCAACCTCCTTACATATGGCCTGTACAGCATTCTGAAACAGTGAACAATAATGAGTTTAGTCAATTACTCGAATGTAACCTTCCTGGGTGCAACTGCATTGCTTTCAAAGTTGCCGGTTTACATGCAACTACTTACAGAACAGAAGACAAATGCCAATAGTAGAAAGAAGAAAAAAGAATGTACATTAATTGTGAGCTTCATAATAAGCATAAAACATATGTAAACCATTATAAGGAGTAACTACTTATATAAATTGCTTGAAAAATGCAAGATGGAGAGCATTTGAAGTAACATACTCCGTATTACATACACAAAGAACCTACATACGGAGCATCAAGCAGATAGCTTGGGAGCTCAACTAATGAGCCAACAATATCAAACTCTCACGACTCAAAACCAACAATTTCATGGAAGTGGTGAAAATAAGTGAAGTGATACTAAACCAGCAATATACCTAACATGAAGTCATGAACAACTTACCTGTCCGACTTGTACAGCTTCAAGCAATGTTTCCTCTGGAAGAAAATCACAGTATCCCTATAATGATATTATAATAAAAATATGAGATGATAGTCCAAACAACTGAAAAAAAAGGATGTCATATATTATAGTAAAGCAGCAACTGGTGAAGGCATATTTGGGTATTGGCCAACCGCAAGGCTATTGTATTTTGTATTAAGAATAACTCCATGTCTCGATCACTACTGCCGATTCCTATGTTCTGGATGTTGAATCTTGATAATGAATAGTACTACACTACACCATCTTAACAATAAAATGCAAGATGTTCTAGGAGAAGTGAAAGAAAAATCCATGGATTTTTTAACATTGTGCCATGACTCCCCGGAACATACCAACAGGGTAATGGAACTTCCTTCAAGTTGAACTTTAACTGGAAACATAAAATTATGCCTTCTTTTCTATTAAGTTATGCTTGACACAATTGAATCATTACTTAGGAATAGTTAAATCATTATGCACAAGCATATGATAACAAACATGGATCCAACCTCCCTATCCATGTGTATACAGCCTAGCAACATTATCATGGATCCAACATGACTAGGTATCTGTTTCATGCAACCCAACCTCAATCATTAATATCGCATTATCTGTGCCAGCCAGTAACAAATCCAACTTTGATTCATCCATCTCTGTCGTGGTTGGATTTATAATGAACTTGTCACCAATAAGACCAATCCGAACTCCAGCAATGGCCTTTGAGTTTGGTACTTCTGATAGGGCCCTATATCATTTAAACTATGTGATATGAAGTGTTTCACCACAATCAATCTGAAAAGAAAACACATTTTGAGGCCAATAAATACAATCAGCTTACACAGCAATTCCAGCAGCCGTCAGTGCCAAAGAATCAGGGGAATGCAAACCATCATAACTTAACACCTGCAGCCCATGGGAATTGGTACATGAAGATAATATTTTAAGAAAAACGTTACATTACCTTAGCCCACAAAAACAAAAAAACAAAGCAAAACAAAAACAAAAAATCTCCTACATTATCCTTAAAATTTTACTAATTACAATTTAAATGCATGCATAAAGAGACAGAGTTGAACTAACCACATGATTAGTGCGTGTTTTCACTAACAAACATTATAAAAGCAAGTTACTTTACAGACTTAACATGCACTACAACTGCAGAAAGGTGTTTTATAGTAAAGGAAAAACTGTATACCCAAGAAAGCACTTGAGTTTCATGGTAGAATCCCTTAAGCATAGTTGGCCGCAGAGGCCTATCTATCAATCTACAGATATGAACCTGCAGGAATGAAGTACTATCTAGATGAGATATTACATCCATTAACTTAAAAATAAAACTAAAAACTGCCTGAATCTGAATAAGTGCTCTTTTGTAGACATGAAGAGTGGTATGAACTTTGTAATGATTTTTTTAATAATTCTTAACAAAAAAAAATGACAGTTGTAAAAGAATCTTATGTGAGGAAACAAACATACATCCAGCAATTAAAATAAGTATCTATATGGAAGCATCAATTTAAGTATTTAATGTAGTGCAATAGACAATAACAATATATGTAGAACACTTAAATGAAATACTACTGTGCAGAAAAAACGCAGCACTAAATTGTGAATTTGCAACCAAACACTTACAAGACCAAAAGAGTTATTAGAGTAATATATTAATATACTAGATAAGTCTACAGCATTCAGATGACCAATGACAGCCAAAATATGAGTTTCTGCAAAATTTTAGTACCTCGTGATCCTTTGCTCTCCCTTCTCGTTTGAAAAATCCTCCACTGGAGATGGACTACAAATGTCATACAAAAGCAAACTGCAGAATATGTTGGAAAATATAAAGTGACACCTACCTGGTGCGACCAGCTGCTGAAAATCTTTCTTGGTATTGAACGAATAGAGGGAAGAAATCGGAAGGCTCGCTTGGATCATCAGCAACGCATACAGTTGTGTATATAATCTGGATAACATATCAAATGTGTCCATAACTCCATGGAAATTGACACTGTTATTTTTTTCCCAAGCTAACTCCAATGTGAAACCGTTCAAAATCTGAAGTACTAAGACGTAAGGGCATGGAATGAAATATCTCAGAAATTGATAGATATTTCCTTTTTTGGAAGTCCTGATATTAAGCCAAAAATTCTCTATTTTGAATAGAATTATGGATACTTTTATTATTGTTGCTAACTTTTAACCATCGATAATATCCATTAATAATTCTATAAAATTGAAATAGTTACATTTCTATCAATACCTAGATTTTCAACCATAGTGTAAAGCTTGTGACTCTCAACAATGTAAAGAACTCAGACAAAATCAAGATATCCAAACCAAATGGGATTAAAACTCACAGTTTCTCCGTCTGTTACTGTAACTGCTCCACTAGCTTGCCTGCCCATACGGCCTGTCTCTACCGTTATCTGCAAAAATTATAATTATTTATATCACCTCATAATTCAGTCAGCTTTCCTGAAATGGAATTGAAACAAAAGAATACTCACAAAGCGATCTCCAACGGGGATTTTGATTGAATAAGGGTGGGGCGGAGCAGCTGCAAAAGCGGCTGCGCCAGAAGTAGCTAAAACAGGCAACTGATAGCAGACTTTGCGACAATTCCTTCTTCTGGCAGGGGCTCTTCTACCGGAAATGAAGGACGGTGGGAGTTGCAGGGGAAATAACGTGTGGCGAGCTGCGGTGGGAGTGAATTGCAGAGGCCGGCCATGGAAGGTAGGGTTTGCTAGCATTTGGTCCAGTCGTTGAGTGTGTGGTTGTAGTGTGAGAGCCCTGGCACGAATTTTATCCGTACTCCGCCCTTGGGACGGTGGAAACCTGAGAGTAAGGGAATGTATAGAGGTGTCTACTCCGCCGGTTCAAGTGAGACGTAGCAGACGAACAAGTACTCCTGTTTTCTTCTTCTTCTTCAGCTCGGCATGGTTATTAGTTACTGAGAGGATGGAGTAATCAGTCTTCCTCTGAGTTTGAGTAACACTTTAACTTTCTTTTTTTTGCTTGGTTCAAAATAAAATTCAATATATGTAGAAGGAATATATAGATTAGTGTGTTACGGAGTATTATGTAATACTCTCCAATCTTTCCGGTCACTATTCACAGTGTCAGACTTTACTCACTTTGTTTACACAATTTTACTAGTAATTTCATAAAATAATATAGTCTTATCACCTTTAGTTTTGTAGAATTTTTCATGTAGTTTATTACTATATAAATTTTATTTTAAAATTTTACTCCTATAATCAATTAAATTGAATTGAAAATAAAGTTGGTCAAGCCTCGTAACGCGTAATGGGAAGATCATACATGGACGGAGGAAGTAGAATTTATATTAGAGCAATGCTAGGGTAAACCTACCCCAAATGTACATCACCCCCTTCTCCACCACACATTTTTATTTGATTTTTATTTATTATTTTTTTTTAATTTTTTTGCCTTTTTTAATGGACAAGGAGGGGGTGGTGGACATATGAGGTACACCTTTGGTGTCGCCCTAGCATTTTTCTTTATATTATATTGTGTAAATTTTAAGGAGGTTATTGCTAATGAAGAATAGATACATCTCCCTTTAAGATGTTACCCAAGGAAATCCAAGTCGATATATGATTTTGTCGTGCCACTTGTATTATACTACGTATCTTTTATCGAGTGAAAGATATATTACCATACATTACCAAGAATGACATGATACAATGTCAAGGTTGGCATTATCTATTTAATTTGTTTAGCATTATGCATTTGCATGTATGACATCATACATTGGCATGATTGTCATTATATGATTACATGTAACATTTAGTGTGGTCTTTTTTGGTACTGTTTGGAAATTTTAATTTAGCAATTTATTAAGTTTCTATATATAAAGTATTGATTCATTTTTGTTGATGAAGTTTTGGGTGTGTTTTGTTATTGAATTAGTTTTGTTTACATTCAAATTTCTTATTTTTTTGTCGATTCAGTTTTGTTAATGATTCAATGACAATTTACTGTAAATCAAGATGACCGAACGAGAGTTCTTGCCAACAACACGCATAGTGGTTATGTTGATGAAGTTTTTCTTTAATAATCATACGATTGATTTGGGTGAGAGTTTGGGAAACTACTTGGTAAAGCAAAGACAATGTTCGCATGGTCATGCGCCGGAGCTTCTAGTTACAACATTATGTTCCCATGGAAGAGTTGAAGAAGCATTGGTGTGTTCTAAGCAAATGATGAGGTTTTAAAATAAATTAAATCACATTTTTTACAGTGGTGAATTTTTTCTAATTTCAAGAGTTGCCGGAGGTCGAGACTTAGAGGCTTGGAGTGTATGAATGTGTAAAAGAGTATGAAAATTTATAATTTAAAAAAATAATTAAATAAAGAGGAAATTGCAAGGAAGAGGGGCAACGGAGGTCCTAATTGGAAAAAAACGGATTTGAAAATTCATGCATGAGGTGACTTTTAATTTCTTGAGATTGAAACGTGTGCCAATAAGAAGTTTAGATTGAGATTTAGTTTTTGGGGTTAAAAACTAGTCATTGTGAAATTAATTACTCCTATTTAGGGGAGTTTAAGTTTCAACTCCTATTTTGGAATATAACAACTCTTTTACTCCTATTTTGGTACATCTCCCTTTTGGGTATGTATTCTTTTTTATTGATTAACACACATTTCATTTCGTTTCCATATTGTACTGTCTCATACATAATTTGATGGTGTAAATTATCGACTGGTATATCATTTTTAGACAGGCAAAAACGATAAACTACTCTAAAAAATACACCAAAATATAAACACGGGAATTTTGTCTTGGAAACCCAAATTAGGATAAAACCACGGGCCTTTTTTGGAAGTACCTTGTCAACAGGGGGATTTTTATTAATATCAGGGGTTGTACACGTTACATGTTTGGGCTCAGAAGTCACAAACGGAAGAACAAAAATACAAGAATCCTAGAGAGAAAAATAGTAATGGGCAGGGAGTAAAGAATGAAATTGGCCTCCCTTTGATGAAGGAGAACCCTCCTTTTATAGGAGTAGCAGAAGCATCTAAGAGAGAATATTCTCTTATTCCTCTATTTTATTATACATGTCCAATTTGATTGCTCTTCATAAATAATTGGAAAATATGGACCAACCCACATATTATTTCTCATCATATTTAATAGAGATCTCATTTTTCATTTAGTACCGGTGTTTCTTCTAGATTTTTTTAAGAATGGTATTAGTCTCTTCTGGGACATTTACTTCTTCTGAGATTCTATTTTTAATCCTCTGTGGTTCACCTGTTGTTTTATTTTGCACTTTTCATTTATGTGGGTTCTTATTTTCAGAACTACTTTCTCCCACATTTCTTTATATAATAGTCACTTCTAAGACTCTTTTAAATCGAGAAATGCATAAAATGTTTGTATATGTAAATTTGTCACTTTAGTCGTATATGTGAATGCATCTAGTAATTCATTTGCTTTTCTTTACAAATCGGACTTCAAAATCACATTGATCATTTTAGGAGTCGAAAAATTGCAATGATGATGCATGCCACATAATTTATTATGTTGGTAGTCTTTATAGATTCTTGTCTCTTCCTAAGACTAAGAATACTTTATCATGGAATTGACAATCAACATTTATGCTTTAAACATATATCTTGCCAAAGCCTCTAAATATTTAATAATAAACGATGAGTTAGAAGTAATATTAATACCCAGTCTTATAGCCTTATATAGGATATTTTAGACACGATGTCGTATAGGGTGTTAAGGATAATTAATCATTATTTATTATTTTCAGTCAATTGTATATCCGTTCCTTTAATTGTGCAGTTCATTAGTGGATTCCATAGAATAGTGCGCCTAACTCCTATGTGATAGGACCGGCCATCATTATAACGTGTATATATGTGCTACGGCTTTGAGCGGTGGTACGGCTTCGGGCGTCGACTACGTCTATTGTTGCTACGGCTCATTCCACGCAGCGCCACTCCTCTACTGGTGCTCATGGGTCTAATGGCAATTTTGGAGGATCCTTAGTCTCTGGTCAGCGTGGTTCATCTTCGTCGGGTTCATCGTCTCATCACAATCATTCGTCAGGATCATTCCAGCAGTCTCGTTGCCATAGTGGGCCATCTGGGTCATGCCAATTCTGTGCTATTCCCGGTCATGACATAAAAGTTTGTCGCAAATTATCTCGTCTCCTCCGGGATCATGGCTTGCAAACCACGCCGTCTTCAGGCTTTGGTGTGTCCCCTCCTGTAGCTCATGCAACTACGGCTACCTCAGATGGGGTAGGGGTGGACACGGTACCGGTACGGTACCGTGACCGGCAACGGTACCGCCGGTACCCACCACTGTACTGCCGGCCAGGACGTTCCACCGGTTCCGGAAACCAGTAGCGGTACCGCCCCACTGGGTACCGGTTCCAGTGCCAAAGTTTTGGTACCGGTTTTAATTTTTTTCCTTTGCTTTCTTCCCAACGGCAACCTACAAAAAAAACAAAGAAAAAGTCAGTGGGTGGGGGGCACCTCAACGACTATTTAGCCGTTTGAGGTGAGGGAGGGGGAGGGGGGAACTCTTATAAATTATCAATTTTTTTTTTAAAAAATCACACTCAAATACTCAATCCATTTCTCATTCTCCCATTATCTCAATCTCTCAATCTTATTATTTTTTTTTAAATTTTTATACAATTTATATTCATATAATAATATAAATATATATTAATATATTACATAATAACCTATAATTAATACATTCATTATTCATATTATCAATTATCATATATTTTTAGTTTATTACTAATATTCTAATTTTGAAAGTTTCAAAATTTAATATATAAATAATTTTTTTAATATATTCTTTAAATATATTCTTTACTTTTTGAAATATTCGAAATTTTAATATATATAAAATTTCAAAAATTTATTAAATTTTTGAAATTTAATATATTATTTTTTTAAATATCAAAAAAATATATATTAAAATGTCGAGAGAGTCCGGTAGAAAGTTCGTGGATATGGGCGCCGTGAACCAAAGTTTGAGGAAAGGCAAAGCTAAAGCCACCTCCGATGGTTCGACCTCACGCGGTTCTCGAGGAAGACACTCTGTCTCTTCCTTTTCTACTATCCCTGATCAATTTATCGGCGACGCTTTGACGGATCAAGAATTCGACCAGTACATTTCTGGTAGGGGCGACGCAAATCTTCCCACTCTTGATAGTTTATTCGAGGATATTGATTAAGGAGGACTCGAAAATCTGGATTGGGATGGGGAGCCTACACCGCACAACAACGACGTCGATGAGGAGGCAGGTGAGCCCTAGACCTCTCGAAATCCTGGAAGACATTCTGTAAGTCTAAGGGTAGAAGACAAATAACATTTGCCAAAGATATCAACATTAGATGGAATAGTACTTACAAGTTGATAGCACAGATTCTAAGCTACAAAGAGGAACTTGCTAAATTTTTTAGAGATGAACTTTGTTTAATCATTTCACCTATTGAATTTGTTATTGTTGAAAAATTGAATTCCGTATTAGAAGTTTTTAATAATGCAACTCTTACTTTTTCGCATGTTTACCAACCAACTACAAATACATTTTTTAAAGAGTGCGTTACAATCGCAACATGTTTTCGTGAAAGTTTGGCTGATGAAGATTTGTACCCTTATGTCTCTCCTATGAAAGATAAATGGTGTGCTTATTATTTGTAAATTCCCGATATTTATAAAATAGGTATTATTTGTGATCCACACTTTAAGATTGAAAATTTTAAAATTCTAATTGACTATTACTACACTTGTTTTTTAGATGAAAATAGTTATTTCTACAGCCATTTAATAGAATGGAAAAATGAAAGAGATAATGCTATAACTTTTTTTGAGGATTTGTTTAAGGAATATCAAGGGTTATACGGTACTGTACTAGAAGAAACAACACCTCCTCCGCCCCCAAATCAAAAAAAGGTTTTAAAGGAATAGTCGGTGGGCTTCTTGCAAAGAAAGGGAAGCGTGCTCAGCCATCGACGAGTTCAAG